TCAAACACCTCTTTTGCAGAAGCTACAAGGAGATTAAATCACTTTGCGATGATGTAATTTCCTTGAGGGTTATAGTTAGTTCTATTTGTAGTTGTTAGTTGTGACTGCTAAGTTTGTTTTTCCCCCTCTTGCTTGTATGTCTGTGCTGTGTGTGAAACTAGAGAAGAAAGGGTAAATCTTTGTAGTGTAACAGGTTGAGCCCTCTGGCTTTGTTTGCATCATGCCTTTATTTTTTTGCTTTTGTCGGCTTTGCCCTGAGAGGCTCAACCCATCCAAGCTCCTCTTTCCTCACTCCGTCTCTCTTCTTCGACATTCACCTGCTTCATTCTTCATTTTATCGTTGTTACCATCTACTTCCCTTTTTCACCTCTGCTTTTTTTTTCTTCACCTCAACTGACCCTTCTCATTGATCTCTCTTCGATTGCCTTATCAAAACCCCGCTTACAGTAATTCGTCTTCACATCCCTGCTTCTTATTCTCAGTCTCACTCACTCCAGCCCTCTGCTTACCTCGGCTGTGTGTCTGCCCAGCTTCACGTTCTTTCCTTCATTCTGTGCCTCTCTGGCTGTTTTTATGTCACCCCCTTTGCCTCCTTCATATTCTCTTCTTCCGCTATTCTTTTTTTTCTTTCCTCCGCTCATCCTCTCTCCCTCTCTTTCCTCCTCATCTCTCTCGCCTTTCTTTCCTCCTCCTCTCTCGCAGCCTCCCTTTCTTTAGTCGATCAGACAGTTGAAGCAGCCAAGCTGCCGGAGGCGAGAACAGACAGAGGAGCCGCTCTGTCCGACCTCCCTCCCTCTCCAGAGAGGCAAACTAATGCAGACACGCCAATAAGCTGTAAGGAGACAATTATTCACCATTTACATCAGCCCTCCATCTTTCTCAGATAGAGCTATACGCTTCTGAAACTCAGCTCTGTTAGCCCGCATATTGTTTTTGGGCTTTTATCCCTTCATGGGTTACACCTTCTTGGATTGATTGGAGGAGATTTGCACCGGTGAAGCGGTTGCCTAGAGGTCACAGCTAGCTTATTATTGGCTCAACCAGTTTACTAAAAAGTAAGCTAACTGAGGAAATGTTAGAGAAGGGAAGATAAATAAAATATGATCTCCTGTCCCGCAGCAACTGCTATTATTGTGCCCTTCAGCAATGCACTTAACACCCAACCACTGCACCAGATCTGCTGAGGATCGCCTGTGCTTATACCGAGCAGTTCCCTCGTGTGACTATATATTTAAGGCAACACGTTTGCTGAAAAGACGTGCGTTGGTTTAAATTATGGTTAAATATGAGTTTTGTACTCAAATTAAATATGTTTAAATCTGCTATATTTCGTATCTTGTTGAGAAGCAATTAGACTTGAACTTATATTTACAACTTTTTAATTAGTTTTGGAATTTTTTTTTCATCAAATGCCCTTGAACTTTTTCCACATGAGTTTCTTCTTCTCCTGCGAGTCGGTGCTCCAGAGACAGAAAAAAACATTTGAGCTGAGGCAGAGGTTAAAGAAGGCAACAGAGCAGTTACAGCAGAGCGATTGTGTGTGTGTGTGTGTGTGTGTGTGTGTGTTGCCATGATAGAGGTACAGTGTCTATGGTATGGTAAAGATGCGTTTGGAAAAATAACAAAAAAACTGCGGGCGTGAGCGATTGACTCGTCTGTTGATGAGCTCCTCAAACACAACAGAGCAAAGCATTAAGTCTCAATCACACACTCGTTCCTGCAGCACACACACACACACGCTGGAAACAGCAGGCGCTCGCTCAAACACACACACGAGCAGACAAAAGCCTATAAGCAGCAGGCATCGCAGAACTCATACCACAAATGCTTTTGCTTTCTTGTTTCCACTCTGAAACATACACTTGCAGAATTGATAGCCGAGCAAAAAGGTTGAAAGGATTGCTTTCACTTGTCACCTACAGTATAGCGCGGATGCAGCGGTGTTTTCTTAAGATCTTCAAAGTGTCCACTCTCATACAAGAAAGACTTGTTTTTCATTTCATACTTGGACAGGCTTTGGCAGAGATTATGGTGTGATTATAGAGTGCAGGGTTTTGTGCATTTACCAGCCTGGCTTCGGTGCTCGGCTGAAAGTCAATGGCACATGTTTTTTTTTTTTCATCACGTGTTTGCAAATGAGAATGAATGGGATCTACTTTGTTTGTCTCTCTACCTTTTTCTTGATATAAAAAAAAATCCTTATCGAGTAAAATACTATTAAATCTTGTTAAAAATGTACAAATGCAAGAGGACAGGCACACTCACTGTGTCCCAGAACCTCTAAGCTATTAGCAGCAGCTTGTTTCACAAGAGAGAACATAGTGAGACAGCTTCAGAGCTTTCTTTTATTTTGAACTTGATTTCTGGCTCCAGATCGCGCCAACCGTTGTTATGTCTGATCGAGTTGAAGTTTAAGGTGAACAGGCCCTCACTTTCCTCCTGTCCGTTCAATCATAACAGTTGTAGAGCACAGTGAAGATTTGTTCTCCCTGTGAATCGATGCTAATCACATCATTGTGCAGCCCCGTCCCCCACGCCTCTCTCTCTGGGGTTTCACGCTCCTTTTCTGGCCTTTTTCCTCTTCACCCGCTGCTTCTCTCGCTCTGTCTCTGTCTCTACCCTCCTCCTTCCTGTCTCCCCTCATCATAGGGGAGGTGAAGCCATCTGAGGCTACTTGCACGCAAGCCAGCCCTCCACATGGGTCAGCGCTGTGCACACTCTGATGCTGGAGTTGTTGCCATTGCAGAGAGCTCCCATCATGCATCTATCATACATTATTTGTGCAGCGCAGCCTGTTGTTTCCTCGGTTGTTGTAAAGCGGGCCCGAGTGTGGAGCAAGGCAATTTGTTGAAGGTCAATACGATAATTTAAGACGCGAACTTGCTTTGTTTTTCGGTTCGGATTATTGTGCAAATTAATAGAAATGTAGTCAAATTGATAATAGATTTTCCTGCTGGCTTAATCATTATCTAACTCTCCATTCTCAGGTGTTTTCTTTATGCTAATCTTTTGAGTCACTGACAAGCATCCTCGAAATGTTATCAAGTTTATGATAATTGAATTTGTTAGTGTTGCTCAGCGATGCCTCTCAGCTGACTTGAGGCCACAGTGTGACTCCTTTTGGCTGCTAATTAACAATTGAGCAATGATTTTGACGAATTCGTTGGTGGCCCTAGATGGTACTGTGAGAGATGCCATCTTACACCCCAATTAGGTCTTAAGGGACGAAAGACAAGCCACAACCCCGGTTCCTAAAACGTTATGTTTCTATACAACTTAACTGCATTCTCATTTACGTTTTGGAAACCAACGTGTTTTCACACTTGTGGGGTAGTTGAAGAAGCTACCAGTTTGAAAGTCCATGGAATGATGAAGGTAGGGAGGATAAAGGTATACGACAGAGACCTGGACCATAATTTTTAAGTTTTCTCATTTATTTTTGGTAAATAAGTGAAAATGAATCTTTGCCATTTGTTTTAATGCTACACTTTCGTTAGTAGTTGGGATGGGACTCAACGTGGCAACCTAGAAAATGGAGGACAACTATAAACATCTCCAAAAGGGTCGTATTTAAACCTAAACCATTCTCCCAACCTAAACCATGTAGTTTTGGCGGTTAGACTAAACTAAGCTTTAGTAAGTAGAGATCATATGAAAGCAGAGAGCAAACGTTTATTGCAGAAACATGAGCGTGCTGGATCAAAGTATTTTGGCAGTTAGTTTTCCTGTGATAAGCAACATCATAGAGTGGAGTCCCAGATGTAGGTAGGAGGTAGGAGATGAGGACGGGACCCCCTGGAGTCTAGACACTGTTGGTATTGGAGCAAAGTTAGCAGATGGCTGATAGAGAGTGGCTGAGATATCCTGGAGAACCAGGATGACGTGGAGGTGTGATGGATTTTGACAGCGTAGAAGTGATGATGATAATAGAGCAGCAGGGATACCCAGATTCACCGAGAGGAATGGAGACAGAATCTTCCTGATTGAAGTTATGCATTAGCTTTACTGTGATATTTTCTTAAATCTAACTTTGTAGTTTTTGTCCCAAAACCAGTGAGTGAAAACCAAAGCTATGAGTGAACTAAAACTTCATCCAACATAAGACCCAGTCTTAGTCCAGTCCAGTCTCTAAACTATGCCTTCCTTTCTCTTTACATGGACTTTATGGCTCTTTCAAACTGAAAGCTTCTCCTACAACCTCACACAGGTTGAAAAATATGTTCCCGAGCAATAGTCTCTCAAAATGTAAATGAGAATGCAGTTTAGTTCTATCTTTTTGTTGACAGGGTTGTCCTCAAAATTCGGATAGCATCCAGGATCTTACAACGTGACTGTTGCTATGACTCCAGTTAATAAACCAACCAATGGAAATACAAGTGATGCAGACTATACTGACGAGACAGCAAAATGCTACTGCTGAAAGAAAACTTATGTACCTCAACGTCTGCATTTCGAGTTGCCCTCTTATGTATTTTGTTGCAGATGTTTTTCCTCTACAGACTCACAAAGACTGATCGCAACATCCAACATGCCTCAACACTGATATTGTCTGATACACATCGCAGCCAAGACTTTATTCGACCCATCTTGTCATGCAATTAACTTGTATGACTGTTGTTATCATGCAACTAACACTGTATAATGCAAAAGCCCCGTTCCAGAGTCCAGAATCAACCTTTTGACCTTCTGCTAGAGATCAGAGTTTCAGTTTTCCGATAAATGCACGTAACACTCCAGCATTTTCGCCAAAGACTTTGTTCATGCAGATGCAGGAGTAATGTGATATATTTATTCATTTGAGTCATCAATACTCGCACTAGTGTTACACATACACCCACAGGAGAATGACCTTTTTCCTGTTGCAGAGAATGTTGCTAAATATGTAATGTGGCTTTTTTTTTTTTTCTCCTCTGTGTTGGTGTCTGTGTGTATACGTGTATGGCTACATGCCTATTTCTGTGTGTGTGTGTGTGTGTGCGTGTCCATGTGCTCATTCACAGCTCCAGCCAACGCCCAGATCGTGCACTCAGGCGCCGCATGTAACGTCAAGGATGATAACATCAGCGAGAGAATCTACACCATCAAAGAAGGAGACACGCTAGTGCTTCAGTGTATTGTTAAAGGACACCCGCGGCCACAGGTAAGACACCACCTGCTGATCATTTGTTAATGTGCGCACTTTTACATGCATCTCCAAGCCGATCCACGGTGACTTTCACCGAGTGAGCAGGTATTTTCCGAGACTCTTGTTCAAGGACACCTTGACAGTAGTGTTTTTTTGTTTTTGTTTGAGTGGCTTTGAACATAACCTGTCAGGATGCCAACATGCTACACTCTCTGTAATCACTCCACACAAGATGAACATACAAATCATGCATGGAATGGTTTGATGTTTCTGTACTTTAGATTTTTCTTCTGTTTGGATAAATAACACATATTAAAGTACTTTAATGATATGTGGCTTATTCAATATGGTATCATGCAAAAAAACGGAGAAAAAAAATGTGTGATTTATAAAATCCCCTTGTTGTTTTATGTATGAAATTACATAATATGGCTGCATTGAACTGAATAGAATAGACCATCCTCATGATTGCTGGTAATTTTCTATAATATGGATAGTTGATGCATCTTTCTGAAAATAACAGCTATTTTTCCTGTTGCCAGTCACATTGGATTACCGTTTTAGGCAATGATGTAATCAATGAGCTTTGATCAGCGCTCATATCTGCCTTCAAGAAATTCCACATTTTCAGACCCCACCTCCTTGTCTTGCCGGACGTTCAGTGTAGGTCTCAGATTCAAGCAGATTTACACGAGTCCCGTTTTCCTGACACAAATATAGCAAAGCCCAAGGTCTTATGACGCTGCTAATGCTGTTATCATGCATGAACACCTCCTTAAATGTGACAAAACTGAACTTTGTTTACATGGTGTTCTTGCTTTCATGCAAGAACTTTAGGGCAAAAACATGCCGGTAACTGAAAAGACTGCAGGCGACGTGGACACGTTCTATGATTAGCATCAGTTGCCAAGCCCGCCCCGCACCAACTAGCATCAATTATATGATGTACCCATGAGTCATTACTCATGTTTATAGTGTCGATGTACTTGTGTTTGTACTGAGTCACACAATCTCTCCCTTTACTCACCTTACAGTGGCATTAGCTGAAGCCGTACCCTACTTCAGGGCTCTCGGCTGAACGTTGATGCCAACTGGCTCCTTTGTCTTGTTACTGTTGGGTTTAGCACTGTGCAGTTTATGTTTGATGAGTAGGGGCAGCAGTATGCAAAAAAAAATAGATATACTCTGTGGCTTGAAGGTCAGGGGCTTAGTTCCACCGAACAACTGGTTGGATAAATGTGCTCTGTGCTGTAAACTGTTAGAATTTAATTACAATACTTGCCTGCAGCAAACTGTGCAGCTGCATCAGTGGAGCTTTAACATGTGAGATCTAAGAATATAGAACAAGATCATATGCATTAAGAGAAACAACTATTCACTGTAAGAAAAATCACAGCGTAATACTACTTGCTGTCCTCTTCAATGCACTTGCAGGATTTCCCTCTGTCATTTTTAGTTCCATTGGAGACTAAAGAGGAAGAAATGCAGAATTGCTATCCTACAACAGCTCAGATTGCACACGCTGAGCTTAAAGTGCAGCCAATTAACTTGTTTAAGAAAGACTTCATTCTCTCATAAAGACATACTCTAAATATAAGAGCACTTAAGCAACGACAGACATACATCCAAACGTAATTGCATATTATATGTGTTAACATCTGCTGACAAACACAAACATAAATACGCAAGCAGCAAAAAAATACATAAATTGAAGCACGCACAGATGCAGAGCGGCACTGTCTCTGGACTCATCTGGTTCCCTGGGCTTAAACTCCAGCAGAACATTTTGGACCGGGGTCTTCTGTGCAAGCGTCGACGTGCGGATGTGTGTGAGCTCGCAGAGCTACATGTAAAATGAACTGAGGTGACTGCAGAGGGGCCGTGTGTGGGTTGTGTGTATCTGTGTGAGAACGTGTGAGGTGAGAAAAGCAGTGTTCCTCACGGGTGCATGTCCACTGGCATCACATCAGCATGAATAAAACAGTGGCTCTGTCTAGGCCTTGTTTTCTTCTATTTGTGTTTATGTGTACTCTATGTGTGCGGCATGCATGCGTGTGTGTGTGAGAAGCAGCTTGATTGTGCGACTCGGCAGACGCGAAATAATCATTCGCACAGCATCTAATTACATACCGAACTGTTGACCTAACCTGTGTGTATCGTGTCTCTCTCATTTGATCCGTCCACCCTCTTTCCCTCTCTCGCTCACAGAGACGTACGTCACATTTACAGAAACAAATCGAACTTTTAATAAAACTTTTTATTTTCACCAGAGCTGCAACAATAATCATTACACAAAACAGACTCTGAAAAACACACACCGTACAAGTTCATTCCCCTGCAGCAGTTCAAAAATGTAGGAAATTGCGTCAGTGATTGCTTGTTCTGGGTCGGAGGTGGGAGTGTATTTTGAATAATGATCACTTTGGTCACATTGTCAGAATGTAAAATATATATATGGTGAGCGCGCCAACAAGACTCACACTGCCTCTGGCAAAGAGACATTGGTTTGAATGAGAGCGTATTCCGGCGTTGGCTTGTGTCTACTCGCATGTACGTGTGCGCATCCGTCAATGTGCACGTAGAAACACACGAACAAACGAAGGCAGACAGAGACAAAGAAACAGATAAACTGTGGCGAGGAGATGCAGCAGTGAAAACATCTCAGTTCCTAATGCCTTCGGACACGAAAACGGAGGCAGCAGCAGCAGCAGCAGCAACGCGCCGTATCTCGATGAAATCATTCACGTATATATTTGAGGAATAAAATATGTATGAAAATGGGTTTGCAATTTCAGAAAGATGTTCCCCACAGACGTCTTAAGAACAGTGGGCGATATTTATGTAATTGGATTAAAATCGAAGTAAACAAAGATCAATTGAATTATATAACCTGAGACGGTTTAAAAGCAGAGCAGCTGAAGAGATCACGCACCTTCAGCATGACGATCCTGTGAGGGTTTGTTTTTCGAACAAATCCTTGACTTTCCGTCGTCAACACTTCTCCAAAGTCAAACCAAAAACATTTCAAGGCACGTTCTTGACCTTGACGGAGCAAAACAATCTCAACACGAGGTCCATGTACTCGTCCTCTTCAGAGCCTTCGAGCACATCTCAACAACGGGCCTCGAGTGTTGTTGTGGGTCTCCACGTTGCCAAACGACACCTTTGCCGATTGCGTTTGCTAATAAATACAGTGAGATACAGTAGGAGGCTCCACGTCTTCATTTTATGTCAATTTACTTATCAAAGACCTGAAGGTTTTAGTTCTTAGGTAATCAATACATGCAAGTATGAAGCCCGGTGACGATTCAACATCCTGGAAATCATCTCTGCCAATGAAGCAATAATTGACTCATGCCAGCACGTAGTAAATATTGATTCAAAGAAACAGCATGCGCTCATGTGGAAGGTGGTCGTATGTAGACACATGCAGGAAAAAACAAGACATATTAGATCATAATGACGAGATGATTGAATAACACAGCAGCTGTAACATAAACCTGCACCTGTACATATGATTTTATTAGTGTCACACTGTGTCTTTATTAAGTTCTCCAAGTGACAAACCGCCTGCAAAACAAGAATAAGATACTTGGGATTACTGAGCCGGTATGATGGAAGTAAACAGTAAGTGTTCTGACCTCTGTCCCAGTGCGTTCTGCTGGAGTAGCACACTGCAGCATTCTGCATCGGGTCCCTTTGGGCTTACAGAGTTTCCACTGCACTCCATTGGCTGTATTGATAACCTGATCCTTGTCACCCCGGCTTCTCCTTCATCCATCCTTACAGCTTTGCCATGCCATCCTCATCCTTTCACACGTAGAGTCCCAGCGCTGCCAGCGTACAAAGTTGTGGTTTCTGACGTCTTTCTGTATTATTTCCTTCTGTCGTTTCGAGTTAAAATGAAAGAGCTCATGAATCCGTTGTCTTGCGTCCGTGTGTGTTCTGCTGCTATCTGATGCAAATCCAAACCAAGACGCTCATGGGGCTGAAAATGTTCTGTGACACTAGACTAGAGTGGTAGTGGTCAAATCAGGTGAGCAGTTTGTGTTGAGTTCAGTTTACGCAAAATCGAATATTAGCCGAATCAGACTTGTTTTCAAAGACATCTCTAAATAAACCAAAAGACAATACACTTAAACTAAATGCTACTAAATGCTTTAAAATTGGATTATTATTCTTTGGGGGGGTTTTCATCGCATGAAGAAGCAAAAGAAACATGACAGATACTGCAGTGAACTATTTTTTTCCCTCCATCCTCACTTTGCATTGGCCTCTAGGTGTTGGCACACATGCAAGATGCTCAAGTATTCTGGCTTTGTTATTATTTATGGATGTGCTCAATTCAAGTGCGAATGTCCTCATAATGCTCTCTTGTTTTCACCCGTCAGAGGAACAATGCACTTACAAATTTGTGCTGACAAGATTTTAATATATTTATTGATAAACACACCCACTGCGGAGCGGACCACACTGACTCTTTAAAAACGATAGAGCTTTATGTTTTATTAATCAGATAAAGCTGTTTCATAGCGGTTGAGAATCTTTTATCCGTGTCTGGTTTCTGGCTTTTCGGTGAGGGAGCTGCTTGTGTCCCACATTCTGATGGGCCTATTTAAGATCATAGGAATATGATGTATGAGTCCTGATTGGCAGTGGATTTTCCTACATTCTCAGTCAAAACGTATTACCAGTAAAGACTTTTATTCTGTGTATTATTTTTTAATGCAAAGACCATTTTGTTCACAAAAAAAACTTTAATCCGCGCCTTCTCCGAGTGAGATGATGTTAGACTTTCCCATCCACTTTCTCCGCACTCTCTGTCTTCATCTCTCTCAGAAGAAGGAGGATCCAATTTAGCCATGTGAGGCCAGCCCAATAAATAGCTGCTTTACTGAGAATGAGTCTGATTGAGGATTTATCCAATCCTTTATCAAGACTGATTGTTTACCTTTGCCTGAGCTAGATTGGATTGAAAAGGGAGCTCTCGCCCTGATCCATACAGAGGAGAGAGA